AAGATGTTAAAAAAATTCTGTATCAGTTCATGCATGTTGTCCACCTTTTCCACAAGAGTTTAAACATATTAACTATAGTTATTTCAAATTCCCTCTCTGATAATTCTAATAGATGGGTTATTTTTGAGTTTTTTTGTTTTCCTGTTGATTGTTTTGTTCTTTGACAGTGATTTTTGCTGCTGTTGCTGCTGCTGCTTCTTTGTGTGTCTCATAAATTTTGACAGTGTTGGTGTTTGTGCACAGGTGAATACAATACAGTTGGAAATAGTTGTGCCTGTTGCTCTGCTAGGCCGTTAGGTCATCGATTCAGCATGTTGAGGACATGAACTGGATTTTGAACTGTAGTGAACTATTGACTTAAAATTTCTGAAGGTTTAACTTGTACTTAGGTGGCAACTGGAATGTTAGAGAGTTTCTTTTACCATTTCTATTCCATCCTTAACTTTAGGTCTTTCCCGTGTGCCTGTGCTTTAGGAGTCATCTCCCTACCCTTGCCCTCCCTCCAGCAGTAGCCTGGTGCTTGTTGTTGTAGCCCAGTCTCAGCCTGGCGGTCCTCTATCCCTGGATCTAAGCGGTGGGAGCTAAGCAGGTGGAGCTGCCCCTCCCCTCTATGGCATTCAAACTCTGCCTTATATTTTTGGTAGGTCTAGTGTGGGAGAGGGTTTCCTGTCCCTTGCTTAGTGGTAGGAGCCTCATAATAGTATTGGTATAGGATCCTCGGATCAGGGATGTTTCCGGCCCTCCTCCAGGAGTGGAGGGTTTTTCTTCTGCCCTTTTTCCAACTGTACTGTATTCACCTGTGCACAACAGGGTTTGCTGCTATTCCCCCTGCAGTTGAAGACTTTTGTTCTGTTGGGGAGGTAGGTCCAAGCGGGGCTTTTCGACACTTACAGCAGTGGCAGTAGCTTTCCTCCTCTAAGCCTATGCCACTGAGAGAAGGGTTCCTTCCATTTCCTGTCCTGTCTGCAGTCCTTCTTATGCGCACTTACGGAGGTCTGTTGAGTCTGTGAGGTGTGCACTCTCTGTATCTATGGCTTCCTGGGGTTCTATATGCTCACACTAGGCTGAGTTGCTCATTCAGCCTTTAGCAATATATTGGGCTTTTTCTTATCTGAGTGCTTTCTGTATCTCGTTCACCCCTCAGCTCCACAAGTGAGCCAGTGTGCCCTACACACACTGTGACCGCCACAAGTGACCTGTCTCTCCTTAGGAGGCTGTCTTTCCTTAGATTTCAGAATACTTCGTTGGCCTGTAACCACAGCTCTCTGATGGGTTCAAAATTTTTTTATTTTGTTTTTTTCAACTTTTATATGTTGTTAGTATGTGAGTGATGCTCATACTACCTTTCTACATTTTAGACAGAAGTGGAATTTTGAATATAAATGTATTTAAAAAATAAAAACAAGAGCATATTCCTTTGTAAACATGTCTTTTAAATGAATATATTTTTACATTTCACTTTTTAAAAGCTAAATAGTGTTCCATTGTATGACTACACAATTATCTGTATAGTCGATCTCTTCTGGTTGGTCACCTAGGGTAGTTCTTTTAAAAACATTATAATGTACAGTGATATGATAAATATCCATGGAACTCAATCTCTACTCTTGAGAGCTGTTCCTTTTGAGAAACAGCTTTTGACCAGCTACTGGGCCTTAGTAGAGACTGAACACTTAACCATGAGCCTGGAAGTTGGGCGTGCACAGCAGCATTCCATTATCAAATGGAAGTGGTGTATACAAGGTCGGGCTTGAGCAGGCTCTGAAGGCACAAATAAGTTATATGAAGTGGCTAAAATGCCCATGGTCCCCTCTCCTGCTACATTACCTCCTCTTTCTCAGCCTGTACCTGTGGCTTCATGACGAGTTCCCTATGATCAATTGACTGAGGAAGAGAAAACTGGGACCTGGTTTACAGATGGTTCTGCACCATACGCAGGCACCACCTGGAAGTGGACAGCAGCTGCACTACAGTGCTGTTTTGGGGACATGCCTGAAGGACAGTAGTGAAGGGAAGTCTTCCCCATTGGTAGAACTCTGAGCAGTGTGCTTGGTTGTTCATTTTGCTTGGAAGCAGAAATGGCCAGAGGTACAAATCTTTACTAATTCATGGCCTGTAGCCAATTGTTTAGCTGGACGGTCAAGGACTTGGAAGAAACATAACTGGAAAATTGGTCACAAGGAAATCTGGGAGAGAGAAATGTATATAGATCTCTCTGAAAGGGCCAAAAACGTGAATATATTTGTGTCCTTTGTGAATGTTCATCAAAGGGTGATTTAAGAAGAGGTTTTAATAATCAGGTGGATAGGATGACCTATTCTGTAGATACTGGTCAGCCTCTTTCCCAGCCACTCCTGTCATTACCCAGTGGATTTATGAACAAAGTAGACATGCTGGCAGGAATAGAAGCTGTGCGTGGGCTCCTCATCAACATGGAATTCCACTCACCAAGGCTGACCTTGCTATGGTCACTGCTGAGTGCCCAGTCTGCCAGCAGCAGAGACAACACTGAGGCCCCAATATGGCACCATTTCCCAGGGTGATCAGCCAGCTAGCTACTTGATGGCAGGTTGATTACATTGGACTGCTTCTGTCATAGAAAGGACTTTTTTTCATACTAAAATAGACACTAGATATGGATTTGCCTTCCTCGCAACAAGCTTCTAGCAGATCTACCATCTGGACCTGCAGGATGCCTTATCCACCATCATGGTAGTCCACACAGCCTTGCTTCTGATCAAGGAACTCACTGGGAGGCAAATTATTTGTGGCAGTGGGCCCATGATCATCTCTTACTGTCTCCTTTTTGAGGGGAACTTTTCTCCTATGACTACTTGAGTTATTTCTTTCTTGCTAAATACAGGCATACCTGGTTTTATAGCCCTACACTTTATTGTACTTTGCAGATACTGTGTTTTTTACAAATTGAAAGTTTGTGGCAACCCTGTGTTGAGCACATTTTTCCAACAGCATTGCCTCACTTCATGTCTCTGTGTCACATTTTGGTAATTTTCTCAATAGGTCAAACTTTTTCATTATGATTATGTTTGTTATAGTGATATGATCAGTGATCTTTGATGTTACTGTTGCACAAAGATTACAACCTGCTGCCGGCTCAGATGATGGTTAGCATTTTTTAGCAGTAAAGTATTTTTTAATTAAAATACGTATATTGTTTTATAGACATAATGTTATTGCACATTTAGTAGACTACAGTATAGTGTAAGCATAACTTTTATATGCACTGGGGAACAAAACAATTCATGTGACTTGCTTATTGCGATAGTACCTTTATTGTGGTGGTCCGGAACCAAACGCACTGTATCTCTGAGGTATGCCTGTGTTCCATAGTTTGTTTCTGAAACTCCTTCCTTTTACATATTCCTTTTATATGCCCTGCATCCTTCAGTATTTTAATAATTATTGTCATATTTTTCACTTTTTTTTTTTTTGAGTTCTGGGAAAATTCCTTAAGCTGGTTTTCTAAATCACTAATTTGTTTTTCTGTTCGCTTCTCATTTTTGGGATTTTAATTGAGTAATTGTGGTTTTTATTTGAAAGCAAGCTTTTATTACTTTAGATTGTTTCATTTTTACATGTTAAATCTCCCTTTTGAAAATAAAAATTTATTTTCTTCTGCAAAATGGTACATATTCACTATAAAAATTTAGATAATAGTCACTGCTAGCATTTTGATGAATACTTGCCAAGTTTTTTAATCATATGTTTATATATGATATATATGTATACATACATATATATGATGAAAGATCTCACTTTAATGTTCTTTTACCTCCTTTATAATTTAATACTATAACAAATTTATGTCAATAAACAGATATACATCATTCTTTTAAATAAAATAATGTTTGCTCAAATTTCATTTAAAATACAAATAGGAGTTTTTAAAGTATTCTTCTCTCTTATAGAAAGGAAAACATTTGCTGTGATTTCTCAGAATGATATACTTTTGTGAAGTACTAGGTATCTTTATATATCTAGTGATTGTTTTTTCTATTTATTCATATTTACAAGGAGAGATTTATGTATGCTATTTTGGAATTTGAGAAAAGTTCTGTCAGAAATTGTGTAAGCCCTCTTCGGTGATCTTGGTCATAGTGTTTTTGGAAGATAAGTGGGTCACATGACCTTGAGTAATGGAGAGGAGCTATTGGTGAGACCACTGCATGGCAGGGAAGGACCCTCCTTTTATTCTGTCTGTGGGAGCAGTGGTGGAACCAGAGCTCCAGATGTCTGTGTAAAGTGAAGAGAGTTCCTGGGCCAGTGGAGTTTATTAGTGAGCCAAGTAGTTGGATTTTCCCCTCTCGTATTTGTTATAATAGTCCATGTTGGACGAGTCCCATGTTACTTGGAGCAAATCCCCTTTGTAGCATCCTTTTGCCACAATACCTTTGATTAGCATGCCACTTCACCACATGAAGGCTGGGAATGGACATAAAATATGGCTGCCTTGTGTGGGGGGCATTGGTAGAATTACAGTAATCCTGGGATTTGTATCTGCCCAAGTACCCCAATCTTTTTTCTCCCTCCTGGCTCTGCTGCTCTGGGCTTGCAGGTTTTCCGGATTTGTAGGAGAATGTCATTCATTCACTTGCTCCCTCAGAGGCCTCCTCCTTTGCTGTGTTCAGTCACAGGCTAGGAGGTACCTCCCTTGGCCTATTCCTACCTGTGCCATATGTAACAGAAATCTCTCAAAATGTCTGGATACCGATGGCATCCTTCTCTGTTCAGAAACTGATTTTTTAAAAAAGCTACCTTAACCTAATTGTATATTTCTTAGGTCATGCCAGTAGATTTTGGGGAGGGAAAAATTTAAATTCATGGACTGAAATAACCCTTTGAAAAGAAATTTCTATGCCACCTTCTCTGTTGGTCAAAGAGATAAATGGATTTACCTGTGTGAAAGGGTTTCATGAAATCTGGGTGTATTGCATCTCCTGCTTTTCCTTGGTCTACCCTATGTTTCTGTGTTTGTAATAGATGATTCAACATGTGTTCCTCTTGGAGAAAACAAGGACTACATCAACGCTAGTTATATTAAAATAGTCAATTCTGGAGAAATATTATTATATTGCTACCCAAGGACCACTGCCAACTACCACAAATGACTTTTGGCAAATAGTTTTGGAAAATAACTCTAATGTTATTGTCATAATAACCAGAGAGGTAGAAGGTGGAGTTATCAAATGCCACCATTACTGGCCCGTTTCTATGAAGAAACCTTTGGAACTGAAAAATTGTCATATCTTCCTGGAGAACTACCAGATACTTCAATATTTCATCATTCGAGTATTTCAAGTTGTCAGGAAGTCCGTAAGTTAAAAAAAATCAGTGTTAGATATATATTTCATTATATAAGCACACGTGTCAGGATGGGAAGTTAGGGGTAAGATGGGACATAGCTGGGGATACCTTTTAAAGTAACTTGTTTTTACTTCTCCCTGGTACCAGAAACTAAGACAACACCACCTCTACTTCTGCCTAACCAAACTCTGACTGGAGAGACGAAATAATTGAAGAGGTGAGTTGGGGCGGTTGAGAGTGAGGGTTGGAAGCTGCCTAATCCTGGGATGTACTTCGGCTCTTCTGCTGAGACTGACAGATGTGTATGGAGTCCTTACGATATCCTGATAATCACTGTGCCAGGCACTGTGGCTCCTTACCGAGCAGCAAAGAGTTCAGTGCGCTTACTGGTACCTCCAGTTACTGTGCTCAATGAATGTGGTAATATTGAGATTTGTATGGGATGCTTTGGGAGCTCAGAAGGGAAGTACTTAGCTCTCCTTGGGCTTGGGGGGAAGATTTGCTAGAGGAGGTGACATCTGGATTGAGAATAACCCAAATGAGAAAGATGGAAAGAGTGATCAAGGTATAAAATAGCATGGGATATGTATAGAGAGATACAAGTAGTTAAGTGTTTCTGGAATGTAAAAGTTCAATGCCAGGGAGTAGTGAGAGGTGAGATGAGGCTATAGAAAATAAGTAGAGAAAGCCAGAACATGAAATGTCTTGGATTTCAGCTAAGGAACATGAACTTCATTATGAAGATAATTGGGAGACATTGAACAATTTTAGTAAGAAGCGTCCATGATCAACTAGGGCAGTTAACAATTAGATAGAAAGCAAAGACTCTGGTGTTTTTCAGATAAAATTGGCAGACTTTATGTGACTTATGACTTATAAGGAGCGTTCAGAAATTATGCTGTCAAATGCGATAGCCACATTTGGCTATTTTATATTTAAATTATTTAAACTTACATAAAATAACAAATTCAGTTTCTCATTTATAGTATCCACACTTCTAGTATTTAATCACATGTTACTAGTGGCTACCATATGGGCAGCAAAGATATAGAGCATCTGCATCATTGTAGAAAGTTCTATTGGGAAGTATTGGTCTAGAATAATTCATAGAATAATTCATTTCTTGCTCTAACAGACTCAGAAAATAGAAAAGGAATGATTTATAGGAGAAAGCGATGTTACATTGCTCTGCGTGGATTTGATTAGCAGGTAGGTGATACATGTGTCCTATAGGAGTGAAGGGGATGGGAGTTAAACCAGAAACTTGAAAAGAGTGAGGAGATTTGGAGTCATCATCAAAGAAGTTGATTGGAGCACAGGCAATGATCAGGAAAAGGGTTGCTGGAGGTGCTGAGGTTGGAACCCATAATTTGCAATAACAATAAAATATGCAACTATGTGATTAATTTTCTTCCTAACCATGGGATTCCTGAACACAGGTTATGAGACTTACCCAGGGAGGGATGTTGCTTAGTATATGTGGCAGGATTCAAAGGATGAAAGGAGTTGACAGTTTGGTAAGAGAATGATTTAGGTAATCAGCCATGAAGTCTAAATTTAGGGAGATGGATGGAATCGGGCTAGGAGGAAATGGAGGACAACGAGGACAGGAGAGCTCCGCTTAGTCACATTGTTGGAGTTGAAGTGAAGCACAAATGAGGTGGTAGCGTAACAGCTCCTGCTCAGAAAATGATGTTGGAATCTAAGAACTGGAAGATTTTTGATATTGGACATTATAGGTGATGGTGAGTCCAAGGAGTGATCACATTGTGAGGACTAGAAGAAAGAAATGGTCTCCTCTTCAAGAGAGAAATAAAAATGTGAGGCTAGAGTGTCTGTTTGGTTGTTGAGATCCCAAATTTGCCTGGTCAGAATCTGTGGTAGGGTGATAGCGATGAGAAGGTGAAGCTAAGAGGTATGAAACTCAAAAGGTAGAGAGGTTTTTGTACAAAGAGAAGGAATAATGAATTGGAAATAGCATTGGGCAGCAAGCGGTATGCAACCTAATCTCTAGGCTCTGTGGTACCTGGAGTACACAGGAAAATAGGTGGCCTTGATTAGAGAGGGCTGCAGAGTGCTGTGCCCATGGGAGGCAAGGCCAGGAAGTGGAAGAAGCATTTAGGGAAGTGATGATGGTTTCCACGAGTTTACTGTGGGATGGGGGCCTGAGTGCAAAGGGAGATGTTGAAGAGCGAGAGAAGTGGGGAGGGAGGGGAAAAGGTAGAATTGAAGAGCGTGAGGATCGGAGCATAGAGTGGTGACAAAGGAGGCCAAGAATAGTAATAATGGCTGACATTGATGGAGAGCTTGCTGGCTGTGTGCTAGGCCCTGTGCTTGCTCTGTACACCTGAGGATTTGCCTGATCCTTCACTCTCCTAAGACTTGTTGATTCCCTCCTGTTCACCAAGTATTGTGCCAGATGCTGGAGATAGAAAACAGAAACAGCCTCAACCCTTACAGTCTAGTGGGGGAGGAAAACACCAGTTCCAAATAACATGTGATACTTGCTATGGCAGGAGAAGGACAGCATGCTTGGAGAATACAGGCCAGGTGGGAGGCCCAGAGGGATGATCTGTCTGCAAGGATTCAAATGCTCGGTTCCACCTGTGCACCCTTGACAAGGGCGTCTAGGATGGTGGCCTTTGGGCTGAGGCCCACAAGCCTCAAGACCATGGGGTTGATGTTTGGAGAATCTGCATCATGACACCGTGTCAGGAAACCAGTGAGGACCACCTTCGTGCAGGTTCTCAGTGGTCAACAGTGCATGAAAGATTTAATCCCTAAGATATGTGATGGAGTGAGAGCTATCCTCAATTTGGTGCCTTCACAAGGTTTTCAAGTGTCGTTTTCCTCATCCAATTTCATGTGCCGATGATTCAAAATTGAGGTTTTCTGTTTGGAACTTAGGAAAATTGTATTTCTATTTGGAACGCAGAAAAAAGTGGTACATTAGGGAGAAGCAGAGGAGCAGTGAGAAACCCTTCCTGAGTTTTTTTACGAGGGTGCCCAGTGAAGTAAAATGAGGGCTCCACATTGGGGAAAGGGTGAACCCTCTGGAAGGGATGATCGGTAAACTCAAAGTGCTTTATCTGTCAACCCTGAGGAGAGTTCCATGGCTCCACTTTCAGGGGGTTCAGCACAAGAGTGGGGACCAGAGTCTACTCACATGGTCATTAACTGCCCAATTCTCATCACCAGAGGAGGTTGCCCCCCACCAAATCCCGGTCAAGCAGCTTGACAGCACTTATTGTTTTAATTAAATTTAGTATCATAATATTTAAGCCGAGATAGATTGCTTTTCTATCTTATTCCTAACATGTTAGCTCATCTTTCATCCTAAGTGTTTGGGATTCTTGGTTTGTTTGGACTCTTCTACATTCTCATGGTGCAGAAGAAAGATGGTAGAGTTAGATTTGGGAGGACTACACTATTGTCCCAGCTCTAAACGTATGAGCCTTCTGACCTAGCATACATCTACCAGTCAATCAAATGCTTACTTTTCATCTGTAAACTGAGGATATCACAGTGCTTGCCTCCCCAGGGTTGATGTGAGGATTAAATGAGATAATGCGTGTGAAGTCCTTAGCACAGTACCTGGCACAGAGTAAGGGCTAAATTCCTGTCACCTGTTAGTATTTTTATTTTTATTATCCTGTTACCATATAGCAATTAGTATTACTATTTCTGGCATATTAGAAATTAAAAGAAGATCTCTACTATAAGACGTTGATAAATCTCTCCTCTCTCTCCGCCTTCCTCTCCCTCCCTCCCTCCTTCTCTCTCTCCCTCTCTCCCACCCTCTCTCTTTCCCTTTCTCCCTCTCTCCCTCCCCACCCCACCCCCACAGACAGGAGCTAGTCACTTTGTAAAACACTTGCAGTTCACCAAGTGGCCAGACCATGGCACTCCTGCCTCAGCAGAAGGTTTTATAAAGTATGTTCGTTATGTGAGGAAGAGCCACCTTACAGGACCCATCATCGTTCACCGCAGTGCTGACGTGGGCCGGACAGGGGTGTTCCTATGTGTGGATGTTGTGTTCTGTGCCATTGAAAAGAACTTTCCAGTAAGTGTGTGAATTAAGCAGAGAAAATGATGCTGTTAGTAAACACTATACTTTTAACAGCCTTCTAATAACTGAAGACTAATATTTGGCCTTCAAGAGCAGCCGAGTAAATAGAGAGCCTGTGAGCTTTGGATACCTGCTTCTCACGCAGGTTCTTGGAGGTGGTTGTGAGAATTAAAGTACGCAATGCAAATGAATGGCTTCGGACAGTGTCTGGAGCGTGGTAGGTGCATCGTAAACATGAGTTCATCTTCCTTTTCTTTCCCTCCACCCACACATACTGTTTTTAGAATCTTGTTAGAGAATGTTGATGATGTGTGCCTATTTTTAATGAACAGAAATACATGCATGTGAGCACATTGGGAAAAAAAAGTAGACTTCAGAGTTAATGAGAGGTCCCTGGGTTTGACTGCCAGTTTTGCCACACATTTTAGATTTTGGTGACTTTCTGCAAATTGCTCATCTTCTCTGAAACCTAGTTTTCTCCTATGTAAAATAAGGCTAATAATATTGTTGGGTTTGAGTCAACTGTTAACAATTCTTTATTTTCCTCCTAAATTTGGAACCAGCTAAGGGAGAAACACAAGAATCAGACATATGGTGATTCTACTATGATCTTTATTACTGATTAATTAGGCAATGTGACTTTAGATCTGTGCCCCAAAAGGCCTACTTTTACTGAACTGCTTTCCTGTGCTGCAGAAGTGAGGAGGGGAAGACATTAGTTAGCAGGCACTGCGGGGTGGCGGGGGAAAGCGGCTCTCACCATGTCCACAAGGAATATGAAAATCCACACCTCGGTCGTAAGACAGCAGGGGATACGAGGCATTTGTCCTGGTAGAGGCAAATTTTGCAGAGTTATCTTTTTATCAGAACAAACGTTAAATCTCTGCTCTCTTAGGCTTTACGTAGTTACACCCCAAGAGTGGCAAACTCTCCCTTGTGATAGCAAATTGGCTGCATGGGTTCTACAACTCTCCATTCTAAGGTAGTATTACGTCGGGGGGTAGAAAAATGTCCTCTCCCAGAAACTCCCTGGAGGACAGAGGGAGTTTATTTTTCTCAGAAGCTTGAGCCAATATCTCCTAGCATTTCACTGTTTCCACTTCAGTTATAGCCCTTTCCCTAAACTGATCCCTGTGGGAGATGCTGGTCCATTAAGGTCTGTCAGGACTACTCCAGGCCATACAGCTGAGAATGAGAGAGGAATGGTTTTCCAAAGCAAACTGAGAGTTTTGTTTTGTTTTTTTAAATAAAGAATGAATATAAACTGGGTGGTAAAAAAATGACAAATGTCCCCAGAATGCTGAAAATTTAAGTAGTATGAATCTGATGTTACCTGTTCCTATAATTAATGTTGTTTTATCCTTTTAACAGAAAACGCATTAGCATAATTTTATTTTATATATTCTTCATCATAATTAATTTGTTTATATTTGTTTTATTTTATATTCCTTATAGAAACTATAAAAACTATAAATATTGTATTTTGTGATTCTGAGGAGCACTTTTTTTTCCCCCATCATTATACCTTCTTTAAACTCAAAATGTGTTTTATAATAAGTCATCTGTCAGCTTAATTGACAGTGTTTTTCTTAGCATTATGTAAAATAGTGATGTATTTTACAATTAAGGATGCTTAGATTTGATGGAAAATAGTGGTTCAAAAAAAAAAGGAAATGCATCCATTGTTGCCTTATTGGCTTTTCATAGAGCCTTGAGCTGTCAAATGTTCTTACTTATGCCCCTCTCTACTCTTTTCGGAAATTCTGTCCACCAGAGCTACTTAAAGTATGGTCTTGGACCAGCAACAATCTGTGTTATTTGCAGCAAGATAAGTTTTCTGAAATTGAGAGTAAGCATTTAGAAACTTTCAAAGCAGTTTGATATCTTGCTGTGACATCCAAGAGCATGACAGTGGGTTGGCCTTGGTGAACAGGATGTAGACCAGTTTGTGCGTTGTGGAAATCACACAGGGAGTCTTACATGCTGCAAGCTGTATACCAGCCGTGTGTGGCTAACATTTTAAGATTAGTTTATCAATTATAACTCTAAAGGATATGAAAATCTGAGAACATGTAACCATATCTTTCTTTTTATTGTTATTTTATAGTCATTTTTATTTTTAAGTAAGCCTGCTTAAAAATCCTTAAAACATTGGGAGCAAACTGGCTCTTCTCTTGCCAGCACTGGTATTGCTCTGTAGTTGAAACATTCTCGATAGAACTTTCCCCTCTAACCGTCTTCAACATGCAATAACAGTTGTTAATTATCAGTTACCATATTATCACATAATGAAGTGAGTGATCCAAAATTTAACACATTAACCTTTACGAAATCAAAAATTCTTACCACATCACTAAACACACTGTCCAGTTCATCTGGCAGAGTTCTTTTTTTTTTTTTTTTTTTTTGGTAGCAAGACTTTCTTGATGAAGCAGTGTGTTGGTTTATCTTTTGGGATAAATTCTTTAATCTGTATAACTACCTCAGACTTGTTTTGTTGTCATTGCAGCTCTACTACCAGAACATAATCCTACACAAAACTTACAAATTACATTTGATGACAGTGTAGTACTTTGCATTTTTAGGCAATTTAAGACTAGTTAGTTGTGTTTATCAGTAATCAAACTGAGAAAAGAACGAATTCTTCCTTCTTATCACATCATTTTCAAATCACACATATACTGAATCACTGTGTTAGCAATAGCTGTGCAGTCAGTAAGTTGCAATGGTAAATACTCTGCTACTTTTGTTTTGTGAGTTGGTACCACTTCGCATCACTAGCCAGTCCCTGAATTCGTCAAGCTGTGGCTTCATTAGAAAATGGTACTTTAACTATCTTTTTTTGCCATACCTTCAGCTCAGATTTTCAATAAAGCACCTTCAGTACAGTCCGTCACCATTATCTGGCAATCGTGTAAGGGTTTTTAGTCTTAGCAATTCAAAGTGCTACTTTGTAAGTCTGCAGAGTATTAATGTTACGTGTGAAATGTTGAACATGAGCTTTTTATTTTAGTACTTTTAAAATAATTCTTTTGTCTTGGAACTTATTGCTTTTGTTCTGTAAGTGACAAGTACATTTTAATGGTTTCTTTGCTTTGTTAGCAAGTACATCTTTGCAATTAATACAAGTGTGGTTTTAGCAATTCACAATTAATAATGGCTATAAAACTCAATGTATGAGGAATCATAATGCTAGGTAAAATTAACATGAACTCTTTTGGTCTTCATTTCTTTGTAGTTACTTACACTATTATCATTTGGTTAACCACTACAGCTATATTCAGAAAAGCTGTGCCTTTTCTTGTCAAGACAATCCAGGGCAGCAGCTTTTGCCATCAGTAAATTAAGGTTAAAAATGAATAATACAAATATATTTTCATAATTTGCCTAATCTTAAATTACAAATTAACAGACTTTCAAGAAACAATGGTTTTTAAATTCATTGAAGTTCCATTTTATCAATATTTCCTTTTATGGATCATGCTTTTGGTGTCAAGTTTAAAAACTCCTCACCTAGCCTAAAGAATTTTTAGGTCCTAAAGAATTTTTCCTATGTCCTTTTCTAAAGTTCTGTAGTCTTATGTTTTACATTTAAGTCCATAGTCCATTTTGAGTTAATTTTTTTATAAGGGGCAAGGTTTAAGTCAAGGTTCACTTGCCATTCTTCCTCCACTGAATTGTTTTTACACCTTTGTCAGAAATCATTGGGAATATTTGTATGGGGCCTATTTCTAGTTCTATATTCTGTTTCATTGATCTATGTGTCTATCCTTTCGCCATTACCACACTTTGGATTCCTATAGCTATATAGGAAGTCTTAATATCAGGGAGAGTGATTCCTTCTCTTGCAAAATTGTTTTAACCATTATAGGTCTGTGCCTTTCCATATAAATTTTAAAATTAGCTTGTCTGTGTTTACAGAAAAGCTTGAGGGATTTTGATAGGATGAATTGACATTTTTACTATGTTGGATCTTCCAATATGAATGTGGTATGTCTCTCAATTTATTTAGGTCTTCTTTGATTTCTTTCATCAGCATTTTGTCATTTTCAGCATGTAGCTTCTGTACGTGTTTTGTTGGATTTATTTTATTGTAAATGGTATTGTGTTTTTACTACCATGTTCGTTGTGTGTACACATATGTACAAATAAGTTGATTTTTGTGTTTTTAAAACATATTTATTTATTTATTTGGTTGTGCCGGGTCTTAGTTACAGCACGTGGGCTCCTTAGTTGCGGCAGACGGGCTCCTTAGTTGTGGCATGTGAACTCTTAGTTGCAGGATGCATGTGGGATCTAGTTCCCTGACCAGGAATTGAACCTGGGCCCCCTGCATTGGGAGCATGGAGTCTTAACCACTGTGCCACCAGGGAAGTCCCCAAATGCAGTTGATTTTTGCATGTTGATCTTGTATCCTATGATCTTGTTGAACTCACTTATTAGTTCTAAGAGGTTTTTTTGTCCTGTTTTGTTTTGTTTTCAGATTCCTTGAGAGTTTCTGCATAGACAATCATTCCATCTGCAAGTAGGGACACACTTACCTCTTCCTTTCCAATTCATTTGCCTCATATTTCTTTTTTATGGTCTTATTGCGCTACCTGGTACTTCAAGTGTGTTGAAAACAGATGGTGAGAGCAGACATTCTTGCCATCACTAATATTAGGGGGAAAGCAAATTAAAATTATTTGTTCTATGAAAGATGCTATGAAGTGGATGAAAGGTCAAGCTATAGACTTGGAGAAACTGTTTGCAATCCACATATTCAACAAAGGTCTCACATTTAGAGTATATAAAGAACCCTCAAAACTCAATAGTAAAATAAATAAATAAATAAATAGGCAAGTAATTTAGTTAGAAAATGGGTAAAAGACATGACATTTCAACAATGAGGATGTATTGATGATAAATAAGCACATGAAAAGACGCTCAGCTTCATTAACCTTTAGGGAAATGAAATTAAAACCATGATATTCAGCTGCATGAGCTGCTTGTAAATTTTGTAGATTAATCCTTTGTCAGTTGCTTCATTTGCAAATATTTTCTCCCATTCTGAGGGTTGTCTTTTCGTCTTGTTTATGGTTTCCTTTGCTGTGCAAAAGCTTTGAAGTTCCATTAGGTCCCATTTTTAATTTTTGTTTTTATTTCCATTTCTCTAGGAGGTGGGTCAAAAAGGATCTTGCTGTGATTTATGTCATAGAGTGTTCTGCCTATGTTTTCCTCTAAGAGTTTGATAGTGTCTGCCCTTACATTTAGGTCTTTAATCCATTTTGAGTTTATTTTTGTGTATGGTGTTAGGGAGTGTTCTAATTTCATTCTTTTACATGTAGCTGTCCAGTTTTCCCAGCACCACTTACTGAAGAGGCTGTCGTTTCTCCACTGTATATTCTTGCCTCCTTTATCAAAGATAAGGTGACCATATGTGCGTGGGTTTATCTCTGGGCTTTCTCTCCTGTTTCACTGACGTATATTTCTGTTTTGGTGCCAGTACCATACTGTCTTGATTACTGTAGCTCTGTAGTATAGTCTGAAGTCAGGGAGCCTGATTCCTCCAGCTCCTTCTTCTTTCTCAAGATTGCTTTGGCTATTCGGGGTCTTTTGTGACAAAGGATTAATCTCCAAAATTTACAAGCAGCTCATGCAGCTCAATATCAAAAAAACAAACAACCCAATCCAAAAATGGGCAGAAGATCTAAATAGACATTTCTCCAAAGAAGATATACAGATTGCCAACAAAAACATGAAAGAATGCTCAACATCATTAATCATTAGAGAAATGCAAATCAAAACTACAATGAGATATCATCTCACACTGGTCAGAATGGCCATCATCAAAAAATCTACAAATGATAGATGCTGGAGAGGGTGTGGAGAAAAGGGAACCCACTTGCACTGTTGGTGGGAATGTAAATTGATACAGCCGCTATGGAGAACACTATGTAGGTTCCTTAAAAAACTAAAAATAGAACTACCATACGACCCAGCAATCTCACTACTGGGCATATACCCTGAGAAAACCATAATTCAAAAAGAGTTATGTACCACAATGTTCATTGCAGCTCTATTTACAATAGCCAGGACATGGAAGCAACCTAAGTGTCCATCGACAGATGAATGGATAAAGAAGATGTGACACATATATGCAGTGCAATATTACTCAGCCATAAAAAAGAAACGAAATTGAGTTATTTGTAGTGAGGTGGATGGACCTAGAGTCTGTCGTACAGAGTGAAGTAAGTCAGAAAGAGAAAAACAAATACCATATGCTAACACATATATATGGAATCTTAAAAAAAAAATTGTCATGAAGTACCTAGGGGCAAGATGGGAATAAAGACATAGACCTACTAGAGAATGAACTTGAGGATATGGGGAGGAGGAAGGGTAAGCCGTGACAAAGTGAGAGAGTGGCATGGACATATATACACTACCAAACGTAAAATAGATAGCTAGTGGGAAGCAGCCGCATAGCACAGGGAAATCAGTTCGGTGCTTTGTAACCACCTAGAGGGGTGGGATAGGGAGGGTGGGAGGGAGGGAGACGCAAGAGGGAAGAGATATGGGGACATATGTATACGTATAACTGATTCACTTTGTTATAAAGCAGAAACTAACATACCATTGTAAAGCAATTATACTCCAATAAAGATGTTAAAGAGAAAACCATAATAAAATATCACTAGACATCCATCAGAAAGGCTAATATAAAAAATAATGACAACAACAAATGCTGGTGAATGTTTGAAAAAACTAGATTACTCATATGTTGCTTATAGGAATGAATGTAAAATGGTATATCCAGTCTGGAAAATAGTTTTAAATTTTCTTTAAAAAAAACAAAAGCAGAACTAAACTAAACTTACCATATAACCTTAGGAATAACACTCGGGTATTTATTCCATAGAAGTGAAAACTTATGTTCACACATAAACCTGTATGTAAATGTTCATAGCAGATCTATTTATAATAGCCAAAAACTGGGAAACAACCTAGATGTTCTTCAACAAGTTTAATGGTTAAAAAAATTGGTACCTGTCCATACTGTGGAATACTATTTAGCAATAAAGAGGAATGAACTACTGATACACTCAATTTGGATGAATCATGAGGTAATTAGACTAAATGAAAAAAAAGTTAGTCTCGAAAAGTTACATATTACATGATTCCATTATGTAATCCCCTTGAAATAACAAAACTATAGAGATGGAGAACAGTTTACTGGTTGCCAAGCGTTGGGGGTTGGGGTGGGTGGGTAGTTCTAATGGATAACAGGAGGAAGTCTTGTGGTGGAACTGTTGTGCATCTTGATCGTGGTTGCAGTTGCATGAATTTTCACATGTGATAATATTTTATAGAACTATACATACACATACATGCCCACTCTCACAAAAGATTGCATGTTAAACTGGCAAAATCTGAATAAGCTCTGTAGATTGTACCAATGTCAATTTTTTGGTTTTGATATTATACTCTAGTTGTAGAGGATGGTATAATTGGGAGAAACTAAGTGAAGGATACACAGACTCTCTCTGTACATTTTTTTGCAACTTATTATGTATCTATAATTATTTCAATATAAAAATTTTTAAAGGCTTAATTAACATTTAAAATTATTATAGAAATGACAAATTATAGAAATAAAGGAATGTTTACATTTTCTCTGATTTTTGTGTACTTTTGGATTATAGCTGACAGTTGACAAACCTTAAATTTCATGTGGTTTTGCTGCACATGACTCGTCCTCAGCTTACACCGCATGTGACTTTTCAGGCAAGTTCAGCAACACCTGAGCTGGCCTAGATCTTGTTCCACTGATGAGGCTGCTCAATGTCACACCGCTGTCAGATTGCCGTAAGAGTTTCTAAACACTTATTACCAGTTTCTGGACTCATCTCATTGTGGTCTAGCAACATCCCTTTGCAGACCTGCACCAGCTTAGTGACCACACTGGGTAGTGCTGGTCTCCGTGCACAGGTGCAGAATCTGGTGTTGGGCCAACTGTTGCTCAGGGTCTCCATTTGAGTTGAGAGGGCTCTTTATATGAGAAACAGCTGTGTTACTGTTGTGGCCAGAAAAATTCTTCTATGCTTCAGACTTTTGCAGAATCACAGTGCTGCTTTAAGTTCTCCCTTCTGAGAACAGAAAAGTATACACAGGGGCAAATTTGTTGTTATTTCTTTTGGAGAACATTTCTTATTATAAATGATTGCTTCCTGCTTTTTCCTGGAAACCCATTTAAACAAGTCTTCCTTATCCATTAGACAAGGTTAAACATAGTACATTTTCTTATGACTGAAAGTGAGAACTTTCTGGTTAAATCTTGAGATATCTTTTACTGGAAAGAAGTATGGCGTACTCCTTTGGCATCTGTGGGTTTTGTGTTTTCCCCCTCTATGGATAATACAAAATTACTGTCATCCTGTTACAGTTCAACATCATGAATATAGTGGGCCAAATGAGAGAACAACGTTATGGAATGATCCAAACAAGGTAAATCTCACCGCATAAATTCTAATAAGAACAATAATGAATATAAAGATGAACATTGTATAGCACATTACAATTTGTAAAGCTCTTTTGTCTACACAGTTTCATTGAATTCTCACCGTTTGAGGTAGACATTAGTTATGCTCTGATATTACTGATGAAATACTTCAAGTTCAGAGCAATGAAGTTTGTTCCATAATGTCATTCAGACAGCAAGTAGAGGAGCCAAGACTGAAACTGAAGTCCGCTAATGCCCACACACATGCTTAGTCCATAATGCCATTTTAAGTAACATCTCTAAAGTTATTTTCCATAAATTTCTGGATGGCAATTTTGGGATATTTATTTGCAACTAAAATATCAAAGTCACTGACATGTCATAAAAAGACAATCATTTATGTCACAGATTAGTTACATTAATCATTGGGGGATCAAGAGAATATGGATAATGAAAATAAACAGGTACCCCTAAATCTTTTTTAGGGTTTTTTTAGGCAATGTTCAATGATATGAAGTGTTTCATTTGAACTAGGCTACGTCTAAAAAAAAGCTTAAATTTGATTTATCCAGTGAAGATATAAAGAGATTGAGATTGAGTCAGTTTCCCTTCTGTTCAGTTAAGCTTCAGTTAACTAGTTCTAGACCAAGAACTATATTATTAACATTTATCTGCCTGATATTTTTAAAAATGTATTTACATAAAGAAGTTCTTGGTTAAATGTTTGCTCTTTTTAAGCACTTTTCTTTGTGGTGGAAAAGTACAAATGTGTTTTCTGAAAGTGGATATTGATATTCAATTAACATTCCATTGTTTTTCATAGATATATATGTATTTAGGAGCAGTATATCCTTTGTTATAAAATTGTGCTTCAAGTTCTTCAGAAGCTTCTGACTTTAAAGTAAGAAAGACTTCTGTTGCTTCACACTTGAAATTACCAAGTGTCTTGGCGCCTCCTCAAAAAGAACATGTTCGAGCTGTGCTGAAGGGCTTTGCTTATGCAAATGTGCTGTCTTGGTGTATCATTTGACTTTCTTTCTGACAACTCCCTGAAGGCAGCATCATTTGGTTTGGGGTGGACGGTGTTTACCCACTGATCTTACTTAGGTAATATCAAGTACCCTCCCACATATTCCAATGAAATGAAAGTTACATAAAACAACTGCAGCCTATTTGGTTGAAGGGGTTACAGAACCCAATAAAGGACTTAAACTGTATTATTTAAGATTTTATTTGGAAAGACAGCTGAAGGGAACTGAGGATTCTGCGGATCGCAAGATCGCAAGATCGCATCGTGACCTCTTACAGGCATCTTCAAGACAGATACGTATCCTTTTTAGCTAGAGTCTGTACTTGTAGGTGGTGTTTGAAAAACTTAGGTCACTAAAGAGTCCAATTAGGAGGGGTTAACTGTCTATGCAAATTGGCTTCCATTTTCCTATACTTCTACACTCCTCTGGGGCCCCAGGGACCTCGGAGGACAAGCTGCCTTTCTAGAGCAGCTGGACAAGGACCTGTTGGTCTGGGAAGCATTTTCATGGGTGGGCAGAGTTCCTCCTCTCCATCACATGAGCACTTTGGTGAATGGTCCAAAACTAAAACAGATGTTTATATAGAAAATCCAAGAGGAAATTTTTGCCCGTCTTGAGTTCTTTCCTATCCCACCCGAACACTTAACATATTACTCAGTCTGCTTTGTTAAAAGCAAATATTACATTCTACTTGCCTCTTACTCTCTGCCCTTTAGCTAACCAATAAACTTTTATATAATCTGTATTACGTACTTCTGAGTATCTCTTACAGCAGATATATTTTTCAAACTAAAATCTATGATAATTATTTTTTTCTTCAGAGTTCCATTAAATCATTTATTTCCATAACTGCCCCACCTCCACTGTAACATTTAGAAGTTGGCTTTGGGAACCAGATTTTGGAAAACCAAATTCATAGTTGTGAAAGCGAAAATTTCCATATTCTGTTTTTGAAAAGATATTGCCATTATTATATTCATCTTATTATAGGACTTTGCCTCATACAATTACAGTGATATTTTGGTCAAGAGATTTCAGTGACCAGTTATTCTTGATTATAAACTATAAAGCAAGTGATACATGTCTTTGTGTGATGTAATTCAGTGGAGATCAGAACAGTCTATGCATTATATTGGGAAAGTTTCCAATATTAATCTGTAAATCTTGAATTTTTTTTTTTTTTTTTGAGGTACGCGGGCCTCTCACTGTTTTGGCCTCTCCCGTTGCGGAGCACAGGCTCCGGACGCACAGGCTCAGCGGCCATGGCTCACGGGCCCAGCCGCTCCGCAGCATGTGGGATCTTCCTGGACCGGGGCACGAACCTGTGTCCCCTGCATCGGCAGGCGGACTCTCAACCACTGCGCCACCAGGGAAGCCCCACAGTAATCTTTAGTTTGGATATTTTGCCCACATAGAAATAGTAGACTCAACTAAAGTATAGTATTAGAAGATTCATTATGAAGTATGGATAAAAGATATCTATGCATCAAAAATCTTTATATCAGGGGTCAGCAAACTATGGCCCACAGGCCAAATCTGACCTATTGCCTGTTTTTATAAATAGAGTTCTATGGCCATTTCTTTATATATTGTCTGTAGGTGCCTTTGTGCTACAATGGCAATGGCAAAGTGGCAGAGATCACATGGCCCATAATGCCTAAAATATTTATTATCTGGCCCTTCAAAGAGAAAGTTGGCCAACCCCTTTTATATATCTTTTTAATAGGAAAAATATCTCTGAGCAATAGGGATATATACCATATATATTTTATAAAATGTATAAAATACTTAAGATTAAACTTACCAAGAACTTGACCAGTTCATATTCTGAATGAATAGTAAATGCATGAAAAGAACCATGATATTTTTGAAAAGAAAAATTAATTGTGAGGAAGGGAAAGGGTTTGCCTTAGCAATAATCAAAGTATTGTCTAAAGTCACAGTAATTAAAACAATGTGAAACTGGTACAGGGATACATAAATGGCTCAATGGAACAAAATAGTCAAGGAGTAGACTCCACAGACTCATATATATTTGTGAATATTTAATGTATATTATATGCTAAAGATAGCATTCCAACTCCAGAGCTTCAAAATATATGAGGCAAAAACTCATAGAACTGATAAAACTGGAAAGATAGAAAAATCTGCAATTATAGTTAGAGATTTCACCTCTTAATAGTTAATAGAATAAGTAGAAAGAAAGTCAGTAAGGATATAAAAGATTTGTATAACACTATCAACCTGCTTGACCTAATTGACATTTGTAGAGAGCACTTCACCAAACTACAGCAGAATATACACTCTTTCAAGTGCACGTGGAACATTCACCAAGAGAAATTATATTGGGGGTTCAAAAAGTCTCAATATAACTCAAAGGAAAGGAACTATGTGAGTATGCTTATGGAATTAAGTAGAAATCAATAATATAAAAATATTTCAAAAATTCCAAAGTATCTAGAAATTTAACAGTGTACTTCTAAATAACTTATGGGTCAAAGAAAAAAAGAGAAATTAGAAGATACTTTGAAATAAATGAAAACACAACATATAACTTGTGAGATGCAGTGACAAAGTTTAGGGGGAAAGTCATATTCTTGGTTGGGCTATGCTGAATTTGTTATGTCTGTGGGACCTCCAAGTGTCTCTGCAAGTCTAATGTTAAAAGAATTCCTGAGCTGAAGATCTTAGAGAGTGTTTGCCTTGAAGGTGATGTTTGAAGGCATGGGAATGGATGAGCTCCCTAAAGGAAGTGAGATGGAGGCCAAGGGCAGAGCCCTGGGGAATGTCAACATTCATTCCCACTTTGACTGCCCTTCATGGCCCAGCCTAAGAGCCATGGTTCTTCTTTCATGAAGCCTCCTAACACTCATCTCTCCCTCCTCTGATTCTTTCCTCAGTGCTTTTCAAAGTCTGTGGTGAAAGACCTGTTTTATTTACAAACAGATGGACCCCCAAACAGCCAAAATAGCCAACAGATATTTACTGGAAAGTGTGGTGGGTTAACAGCAATTGAAACTGGATGAGTATCACTACTGTCCACTTCAAAAGTGAGAAAGTGCAAGCAGCACTTGGTAAGACCTAAAGGGGTTGGAGCAGTCTAGTTCTTATCTACTCTAAAAGCAGACCAGCCAAGACTCTTTTCCAGGACAGAGTCCTACACTGAGGAGAAACTGTAGAATCAAAATTGAGCAGAACAGGGATAATAGGGATGAAGAAAAGAGAAAGTCCATATAAAAGTGAGTGAGGGGAACAGAGCTGGAAAACCTTTTTAATGTTTTGAAATATAAAAATGTTACAAGAGAGAAACTACAGTATGCAAATGACTATATGACCTAACAAGGTAGATATAGTCACTTAAAATGGGGGGAGAATGGGTATACTATAGGCAAAAATTGTTTAAGTGATTTTGGTAATAACTGGTAGCGTAGTATTGGATTATTATTTTTAGCCTATTGTAATACTGGGTAAAGCAAATGAGTAATTATGTGATGTTTGAATTCAGTTATCCTCTGTGTCATTGTGAATGAGGACTCTAGATGTAGAAGAAAAAAGATATAGGTGTAATACAGAAGTTAAGTAAAAACCCTATAGTTCTCAATTGAAAATAACAATATGAACCCAGGAAGTATTTAGATGCTAGATAGATAGATAGAAAGACAGACGCTTTGTCAACTTAAATGGCCTAGAAACAGTGACCAACTTAGTAAAAATGAGCATCCCTAGTGCCCAGATTTTGATTTCTAAATCTTGCAAGAATGAAAGTGACATAGACATTTTCAGACACAACAAAACTGAGTTTGCTTCCAGCAGAGTACCCTAAAGGAAATTCTAAAAGTTAAAATGCCAGAAAATTATCCCAGATGAGTTAAAGATGGAATTAAGAGGAGAGAATGGGTTAAATGTTTTGTTGGGTTTAAAATACACATATTGAATTAAAATACAGGGACTTCCCTGGTGGCACAGTTGTTGGGAATCTGCCTGCCAGTGCAGGGGACACAGGTTCGAGCCCTGGTCTGGGAAGATCCTGCATACCGCAGAGCAATGAAGCCTGTGCGCCACAACTACTGAGCGTGCGCTCTAGAGCCCGTGAGCCACAACTACTGAGCCCACATGCCACAACTACTGAAGCCTGTGTGCCTAGAGCCCGTGCTCCGCAAGAAAGAAGCCACTGTGATGAGAAGCCCGCGCACCACAACGAAGAGTAGCCCCCGCTCGCCGCAGCTAGAGAAAGCCCATGTGCAGCAACAAAGACCCAATGCAGCCAAAATAAATAAATTAATTAAAAAAATACATTACGACACTAACATACTGGTTGGGAGAGATATAAATAGATTTAAAATGTTCTGAGGTTCTTGGACTATTCAAGAGAAGGGTAAATTTTTCAATTAATATTAGATTTTGATAACTTTAAAATGCTTCTTATAATTTCTGTTGTAACTACTAAAAGAACAGGAAAAGTGTATAAGTTCCAAATTAAGAGAAGGTAAAATATAGGCAAGACAGGACAGAAAAAGAAACAGAATGTGGTGCAAATAAAAAGCATATAAAAAGAGTAGACTGAAGCCCAAAGATATCAGTAACTATAATAAGTGATAAGTGGATGAAATGGTCAACGTGAATGATGAAAAATATCAAGAAACAAATTTAAAACATAAGGATACAAAAAGGCTTAAAATAAAAGGGTGTAAAAAAAGGATGCAAACACTAGGCAAAAGAAAGCTGGCATGGTATATTACTTTTAGACAAAATAGAATTTTAGCAAAAAGCGTTACTAGAGAGGTTCTCTGGAAATATATGACCACTCTAAATTTGCATGCACCTAATAACAGGGCATTAAAATATATATACAAAATAAATGAAGCATATATATAAAATAAAAAACTATAAAGAGAGAGACAACTACAAAATAATAGTGAG